TTTGAGGTTTTAGTGCTCAATATAGGTTATATTAATTAATTAAGAGCAAATTAGTATATTGTGCCTACCATGCCAACACCTCTATCCTTAAGCTAATAGTGAGTTCAAACTAACAACCACTCCCCTCACTGAGGGCTCTTAAAACGTGAGAACATTGGAGTCTGGCAAGGAGACACGTGATACCTGTTCTCACTTATAAGCCCATTGATAGTTCATTTCTCCTTGTCTCTCTTCACTTTTAACTGTATAATAGGCTTTAAAGTTCAATGAGAGAGTAACTTAATGAATAATATACTAAATAAAGAAAAATAGCATTAGCATAACTAAAACTCATACTTAGAGATAATTCATGAGCTTAACTAGTTTGCATGCTTTAACTATGTCATCTGTAAACACAAATTACATTTCTTTCCTAATTCTTTATTATAGGTTGAAGATGATTGAAAGGGAGTATTTGCAATAGATATAATTAATAAAGGAAATAGTTTAGATCATACTACTTATTATTTTAGTAATAGTAATGATTACAAAGATTGAAACAATATACTCAATGGCTGAAATAATTATTTTCTTTAAGTAGCCAAGAGGGATTTATAAGAGGTAAATAAATTCTCATCCTTGCCCAAAGTATATTAAACATGGGTTGACCAGTATCTTTAATGTATTAATCAATAAGCTGTCATCTGAAGGAATGCTATGTAAATTTATACACCTCTAAAGAAGGCTACATAAATATCACATGATTTTACTGCTGTTTTTAGAAGACAAGTTTCTGGTAATGACTAAAATAGAAAGTGCTTCAGGCAAATTAGTGTGATATATAGAAAATTCAGCACTGGTTGCAAGAAGTTCAATGCTAGTAAGATGGTAATGCTAATAATGCAATACATATCTACATCTTCACTGCAAACATGAAGATGTAGATATGTATGTGTAAATCTACAGAACTATGTTTAGCAATTCAAAATGTGTCTCCACTAGTTAACTAGAAAATAGTGTTGTAAAAGTCACCTTTAATTCCAGCCTGCGTTTCTTGTTTTGGCAGACTTACCACATTGAGATATTGTGAGGAAATCTGAGTTATTTCTAAAGCATTTATGAGTTTCCCAGTGGAGACATCCCCAACAAAGAAAGGCAGAACTACCATAGTTAAATAAAATGAAGGGCAGGTAGAATCCACAGACAAATATTAAATTTACTTACTGATAAATACCTTTTGCATTTAATAACTCTTGTCCTGCCTATGTAACCTCTTATTGAGATACACTGAATTAGGAGATATAATAGCCTCTTTTTATCTGATATCTATAGGCAGAATTGTCATTCCCCTCTCATGAGGAATCCACATGTGCTGCCCTCAAAAAACACTCAGATTCAAATTCTGAACATAAACTAGACTCATCCATATAATCTCAAATCTGGGAATTCCCATATTGATAATTCTATAGAAAGAATACAAGATAACAAGATGACTAAGCCCTATAAACATTAAACAAAAATAGAATTTTCCAAAGGGAGACAAAAAAAAAAAGAAAGAAAGAAATTGCTATAGATCTGAGAACTCTATTGTGATCAACTGAATTTTTTACTCCAATTATTTACTTCTTGCTGTGCCCACTTCCTTCACCATGTAACTTTGAAATTTCTCTCAGAAAGGTCACATGTATTTTCCCACCCTTCTGGGTACAGCCTAAATCTTGCTTTTGGCTGGGCACAGTGTCTGACATCTGTAATCCCAGCACTTTGGGAGGCTGAGGTGAATGGATAACCTGAGGTCAGGAATTTGAGACCAGCCTGGCTAACATGGTTAAAACCCATCTCTACTAAAAATACAGAAATTAGCCAGGTGTGGGTTACATCTGTAATCCCAGTACTTTGGGAGGCTGAGGCGAATGGATCACCTGAGGTCAGGAATTTGAGACCAGCCTAGCCAACATGGTTAAACCCCGTCTCTACCGAAAATACAGAAATTAGCCGGGTGTGGTGGTTCATCCCTGTAGTCTCAGCTACTCAGGCGGCTGAGGCAAGAGAATCACTTGAACCTGGGAGTTGGAGGTTTCACTGAGCTGAGATTGTACCACTGCACTCCAGCCCGAGCGACAGAGTGAGACTCTGTCTCAAAAAAATTAATTAAAGAAAATAAAACTTGCTTTGATCAGTAAGATGCAGGCAGTAGGGTTTGCTAGCTGTATACCAACATCTTACGTGGCACTGTGGTTCCTCTTTGCCCTGATGTTCTGTAGCTGTGACCATCAGAACAGTAGAAGAGACACATGGATTGGAAATGGCTCCAAGCCCAGACAGGAGCTAACCCTGTCCAGTCCTGGAACTAGAAACAAAGCTACCGAGCTGAGTCCAACCTATATGAAACCTCCCAGCTAATCCATGTGCATGGGATAAATAAATGCTTATGTTTGAAAACCATTAAGAATTTTAGGTTATTTCTTACACAGCATTCTTGTGACAACGACTACCTGATACATTTATAAATTAAAGTGAGCAAAAGAAATATTCTTCCCTTCTAGTAATCTGAAAATAATATTTCCCTCTTCCTGAGATGTAGATTTCATTTATTTACTATGAAAGTCAGCAAATTAATGCCTGATTGATTGAAAGAGTGTTACATCCACTGACTTCATTCTAGATTGGCCACTGACACTTTTTTCCTCCTTATCATGCTGAAAATCATATTGACTTTCAAATGCTTACCCTTTCTCTACTGTGTTGGGGATACCAATCCCTGTAAAACCCCATCTGTAAACTTCTGGGGTTAAGTGATCACTTGTTCTTGAATTGTTCTTCAGGGCCCAGGCTTCTGAGAAGAGATGTGTGGAAGACCACAGCATGGTGGGCAGAAAAAGAAAGCTAAACAATATGAGTGCTAACCTTTCAATTAGCACAACTCTGCTTCCATCTATGTTAGCTATGGATTCTTTATGTGGAAAATCAGTTTTGCTGTTTAAATATCAAGAAGTACTAGACCAGATGTGTTCTAAAGTCTTCTAATACTCAAAGCACTATGATTACATTTTTTATTTTGACCACCCCCTTCTCTTTATTTCTATTCCCATCACTCTAATTTAAGACACTATCACCTAAACTCCTGTAATCACTTCCTAATTTGACCCCTTGCTTTGAGTTGTAAATTGTATCATTTTATTCCCCTGCTTAAAATGAGAGAAAACCCAACTTTAGCAGGGCCCCCAGGCTCGCTCTGTCTCTCCAGTCTCATTTCCTGCCCCACTTCCCCACCTTTCTTCCTGGCTTAGAACACACCCTACTCTTTCTCACCTTGGGGTCTTTCTCCTGTGCTGTTTGCTCTGCTGGAAATGTTCGTCCTCTGTGCTTTTTGCCCTTCAGTGTCATACTGTAAGTCAGCCTCTCAGAGAGACTTTCTTCGATCACCTAAACTACAGACGGGCTGACCTGACCCCCATCATTCTCTATGACAGCACATTCTTCTTTTTTTGTACTCATAATTTACAGTTATAGAAACATTCGTTGGTTGTTGTATCATCTGACTTCCTATTATCAGCTCCAGGTGGCAAGGGGTGAAGTTATCTGGTTTATTTTTGTATTTTTAGGACCCAAAGCAGTACCTGGCACATAGTATATACTCAGGAATATAGATGAGTGAATGAACTAATGAACTTCTTAGCTTTTGCCATCATTTTTTCTACCACTTTTTTATACCATATGACACTTCCCTAGTCTGTCATTTGCTTATACCTGCTCTCTTAGTTACTGTCCTTAATCCATGCATAATGTTCCTTATGTTCTTAAACATCAGAATTTTCTCTTCAACTTTCTTTATTCATCACACTTCCCTCTTCTTACTCTTTTCATGTGCCAGTGGTTACTATATGGTAGGTTATGGGAGATTATTATAAAGCTGACCCAAAATTTTAGAATTAGATTCTATTTAGGATAAAATTAACAACAACAATCCTTCAATAAATGAGATCAGATACTTATAGAAGCAAATGCTCTATGCCACCTGACTGAGATGACTGAGGAGTTTGGGAAATACCTAAATTCCAAGCACGATTACCAGGAAATGGTGTTAGGGAAAAACGATGACAAAAGTTATATCCTGGCTAATTCCATTAACCTCCATCAGAAGAAAAAAAATAAGTGCATGGTTTGTGTATAGTCTAGAAAACATGGACACAATGAACAAATAATGTGGAACTCCCTTGCTGGAATGTGGGTTTTCCAGCAATGCCTGGAACAGAGAAACAACAGATCTGATAAAGGTAATATTACGATTAGTAGAGAAATGAAGGCTGCGTGGGGGAAATGTATTGGTCAGAAGCTCTCACTGCAGTTTAAAGGCACAACCTAAGAAGATGCTCTGAGAGTAGGCATGAGGCTACTGGCTGCTGAGAAGAGAGCTCCCTCTGCAAGTGAAGAAGCTGGCATTTCGGCTTAGGCAGCGGTTTCTGGTGAGTTGGTTTAGTATGAGTCAACTTACAAAAATTCAGTCTATTCTGGGTGTACTGAAAACATTTAGTTCCTTAATCTGCAAAGCCAAGATCCATACCTTAATCCACAGTTCTGAAAGAAAATGTCCGGGCCTGAGCAGTCAGTAGACTTCCTCAGACTCCAGTTACATCTTGCCAATTTGGAAAGACTTTCTTTCCAATTCTCATATGAACCACACTCTGTTTCTTATTATTGGCTATACCTATGACTATCAATCTGTTGATAATTACATGATGTGCTTTTGTGAGCACCTGATTACACAAAATGGAATTAAGAAATGCAAGCATTTTTTGTCATCGTGGCAAACTGACACTCCTCAGAGCTAAGACACAATGTTGTAGCCTCAGCATACATTTCTGTGAGTGTAGCTCTAGGATTCCCCTTTTACCTAACATTATAAATTTGGATTATGTATCGGAAAGTTGTTTGGGAGATCATAAGCTATGTGTAGTAAACATTATATGGGACAATTAGTAAAGAAAGGTATTAGAGAAAAATACCAAAACTTTTCAGACCTGGGATGGAAATCTTCCCCACAGTCGGATGCTCCATCTCCATAACAAGGCCATTGTGTAATACCTGAAAAGGCAAAAACAAAGAGAAAAATAATTTACAAAATAAACCCATCTTCAATTGCAAGGTATGGTACAGCCATCTATTCAGTCAACATCAAAGAAAGATATGGCAAAACAGAGATGTTTAAAATTTTCATTTGAAAGTAAATATTTGAGGTAAAAATAATGTTTCATCTTATAATACATCAAATGAAGCCAAAAAAGACTAGAGGATTCACAGACTAGCAAACATTTCAGTTAAGACCTTCCCACTCGTAAAATTTTTATTTGCTCCTAAATATAGCAGATTATTTCCTCTCTTTCATCTATGAATGCTCCCCAAATATTAAAACTCAGACTTTTCCTGCATTATCTCATGATAGGATTTGGCCAAGGTCAAGAAACAGGACCTCGAGCAGAACAGCACACTGGGGTGGCACACATGCTCCTGGAAATCTGTTCAGCAGAAGGTATGGGAAGTCAGACTACTTTGAAGAATAAATCGGAGTATTCAGAAGGCTCAGTGACTACTGGAGGTGGAAGGATTCAGGGTTGCTGTGACAAGCAAATGAGCAGTTGACAGCAAAACCAGAGGAGACCCAGGTCAGAGGTGTGCGCAGGAAAGCTGAACCAGGAACGTTCTTCATGGTAGTCAAAACCTTAAGCATAAGACTAGAGTTCAGAAACAGGATTCCAGGATCCTGGAGAAAAAAGCCAGAGGCCTTCATCCCAGAGGCCTGATTAGGTTCTCATGCAATGGGACTGAGATAGGTATCTAGTGTGCCATCAAGAACATAAGGTAGCCTTGGCTTGGGATTAAGATCTAAGGCCAGTTATTAGTGAAGGGACATTCTACCAGTGCCCGACTAGAGAAATGTGACTTGATGCTGAATCACTTGACTACTGAAATAAAGCTACTTAAATCCCTGGCAAATGAAGGCTGGAAGTTTTCCTGGGGGGAGGCAAAAAGACAAAATCTGAAGAGCCCTCTAACTATAGGTGATGGATGCGCTGAGGGCATAGAACCAAATTCTGGGACATAAGTGTTGAATTATTAGAGGCAAAATGTTCTGTGATACACAAATATAAATGCAAAAATCTTTTTTCTTTCTTGCTCGTTTTTTTTAAACAGTTAGAGGCTACCTGAGTATACTGTCTCAAAGAATCCAACATCTATTACTAGAACCTAAGTTAGACATTTACGGGCATCTTACATATAAATCGTGTTTCACGTGCGCTATCTACCAGGCAGAGAACCTCTCTCTTCCTGTCCTGTACGTGCATCTAAAGGACAGAAGTGTTTCAGTGGCACATTAATCTTACAGACCACAATTTTATGCCAGCATTCCAAAGAATGGCAGTTATAATGGTTCTACAGCATTTTAAGCTTCAGGTAAAAGCAAGATTTGTATATTTTACCTTCTTACCATAATCTATTTGCAGAGCAAAAGAGCGTGGAATAAAGAAACTAATAAAAAATGTTTTCTCACTTTGCAAAACTCAGAGAAAGAGCTCAAATTTCTTGGGTTTTATTCATTTCTGGTGAGTTTTTTGTCACATCATAAAACAAATCACCAATAAGACAACTTCATGAGTGACTTTTTAAGTTTAGAATTAGTTTTGCTACGGCTAAATATTCTGGCTGCCACTGGTTTCTTTGGGAATGGTTACCACTTTTTGGGTGATGCTCTTTAAACAATGTCAACCTCTCTCATTGAGGATGATAACAGACCACACAGAGATTCTCTCTTTTGGGATCACCAGGTTTGTACTCAAGAGCTGGCCAGATAAAATTCTCGCCAGTGTTAGAATTGTGCTATAATTTAATTCTGGTGTGGCTCGTTCTCAGCACCCGCCCCGCACAGCTTCCTTCTATGTGGGGGTGGGGGCTAAATGCCAACGCGAGGTGCTAAATCTCAGTTCTACTGAGGACAGGAACAAAAATACCGAGCTAAATTTCACTCAAAACAATTATCTGCACACTGAATCATTCTTCTCTCCTCGTATCTCTGTTGCCCTCCTGACTACCTCTTTGTAATAACACTGCAGTGCTACTCACGAAAGACAAAAGTGAGTGTTCTTAGCTAAATATAACTTAACTGATAGTGCTGAAATTAATTAACGCTGAATTTTAATCATGTAGCAAACGTTAAGTGTCAAACGTGAAAGGGTAGTTGGTAAAGGTCAAGGGACATATGTCAAAGTTTTGTGAAGCAAAAGCTAACAGTTGATTGAAATTTTCCATGGAAGCAGTTTAAGCAGTGTACTTTCTCCACCCCTATGCTGACTGCTGTCTATATAGGATATTTTCAATATGAAACTTTAACCTTATCAATGCCTTTGCATGAAACACATTCCGTTTTAAGCAAAAATGTAAATTCTTCTTACGTTTCGGCAGAGGAATTTAACTGCAGTTTCTCATTTGCTGTAGTATGCATACAATTATTACGCAGAGGGGCTGGTCTGAGCCCCCATGTTCAGAAGAAACTGATATATTCCCCTGCTTGGTTGCCACCCACCTTTTAATATAGAGTGTGAAGTCCATACGATTCCATAGGCTTTCTTTGTGAATCAGGTCAGAATATCCCAGAGAACAATGCGGGCTGTAGCAGTGCTGTCCCTGGAAACCCTGCCTAATGACTTGGAATCTTGGGAAACTCTCCAGCCTTGTTTGTGGGGCGAATCCTGCTCTGCTTAGTAACATATTAGAGGATTTCAGAACCCAGGAAGTCTGTCTGAATTCTAACATAAATCTTTCCTGCTTCATTACCCTTTCACATTTGACACTTAACTTTGCTACATGATTAAATTTGTCTCCTCTAAACTTCATGGGAAATGAAGGAACAACCTGTTACCACCATTGGTATAACATTTTTTGGAGAATGGTAACTAAACATTTCCTTGTTTTTTTCTCATCTGGCCCCAACACCCTAACCTCTATCAACTTCACCTAGAAATTCAAATTAAAAATGTTTCATTTTCTAACATTCAACTGCTACAATTTCCCTTAAAATTTTCATGCCTTAAAGAGTTTCATGCCTTGGTGCTAGGTCTGACCATTTAGGGCATTCTTTGTTACATATTGAGTTATTTCAATATATGGCAGGGAATTTCTCTAGAATGTTGTACTGAATTTTGTTCATTTGGCAATGTCTTTCGTTTTTACTGTTACCTCCTTCATTTTACTTATTTTACCCTTCTTAGGTCTTTCATGGTTTCATGGCTCTTCTAAATTCCATTTCTTCTCCTTGAAATTCAAAAGCCTATTCTTGACAAGAATAGAATTGTAGACAGTGCGCCAACCTCTTTAGCAAAGTATCAGGCCTATTTAAAATAAGGTCTCTCTCTTTCTCAAGCGTTTTACAGATTGACAGCCTAATGACAGAGTCAAATGGTAATGTATTAATGATGGGGGGAAAGAGTAAAATGTATACCTTAAAGTAATGTGGGAAATAAAAGTTTAAGTGAAAGTAAGAAAGTCTTTTTATAAAGTCCTATGGCAGAAATGGCAAAAGAAAAAAAATGTAATATAGGACTAGCAAGACAAAAATGCAAAAAATAAAAATCGATACCCTTTCTAGAGCCCATGAAAATATTTATGGAAAGTGAGAGAGGAATACTCAAATGAAAAGACATGAAATTACATACACAAATGATATTTGTAAAGACTATACTATATTTATACATATCAAAATCAAAGTAATACCACCAATGGCATTAGCAATAATGCACAAAAGATAACTGGCCTATCTATTCACTGTGAATAGTAATATGAACTATTCATTCAGTACAACAAACACCACAGAGCACTTATATGCTAGGCACAATGAAGGAGCTGGCAATAAAAAGATGAATGAACCTGCATTAAAAATGCATGTAATTGGCAGAGAGGGTATAGAATAAGAGAGGTTTTTAATAACAGTCATGCAAATTTTTATAACACAGTTTAAGCTCCTTAACAAAGGAGCAAATCCAGTGAGGAGCAAGTAAGTAATTCTGCCTATCCAGAAAGAAGTTAAATGACGTAGGTCAGGGAGGTTAGTAAAGAGTAGAGAACAAACATAATATTGAAATTAGATGTTAAGGTTAAAAACAATGACAAGTGTAATAACAGCAGGTGCTGCTCAACAAAACTTCTGAAGGGTCAGGCATTGTGTTAGGAGTTAAAGCTTTGTTCATTTAATACTCTCATTAATCAGACTAGGTAGGAATTATTATTACCTTCGTCTCTACTGATAAGGTGTTAGAAACCCAGAGGGGCTAAGCACTTGTCCAAGATTTCACAACTACTAAGTGGCTGATCTTGGATTATAATTTAGATGTGTCAAATTTAGCCAGGTTCCTGGCAGTTGGAGACAAAAAAGGAAAAGCATTATTTGATTTACCATTAAAATAACTAGCTGATGTGGTCAATTCTGTATAACAAATGAGTCACTTCAGTGGGGAAAGAAAATCAGCCAAACGGATTACATGGCACCATGTGGTCCTATTAGTTAATAAACTGAGCTGCACCATTGCAGGGAGCCAAGGATACTCTGGCACCACTGATACAAAGGCTTTGAAAACTGGAAGGATTTGAAGGGGATGGACCCAGCAGGTGATCTTGGGCAAGGCACTTAAGTACTCTAGGGCTCAGAATCCTCATTAGTGGCCAGGCATGGTGGCTCATGCCTGTAATCCCAGCATTTTAGGAGGCCAAGGCAGGCGGATCACCTTAGATCAGGAGTTCGAGACCAGCCTTGCCAACACAGCAAAACCCCATCTCTACTAAAAAAAAAAAAAAAAAAAAAAAAAAGAAAAAAAAAAAAAAAAATTAGACAGACATGGTGGTGTGCACCTGTAATCTCAGCTACTCAGAAGAATCTCTTGAACTCAGGAGGCAGAGGTTGCAGTGAGTCAAGATCGCTCTACTGCACTCCAGCCTAGGTGACTGAGCAAGACTCCATTTAAAAAATAAATAAATAAAAGCATTTAAAAAATAAAAGCAAAATCCTTATCAGTACAAATAGGATAATAATATCTCTT